AAAAAACACTATAAGGACAAATTCCTGAAGAATTCCATTTATAAATTTCTAATAGGCATAGTTCATAATAATGAAAAGATGGACCATTTAAATCAAACTAAAAAGGTGGCAATGAACTGGAAATTTTGATAGGTATACCAAAATCAAAAATAACAAACGGAGTTCGAGTAAAAAATTGCGGCTATGAGAGAAGCCAAATACGTAAAATACCCACCAAAGTATAGGCATCGGAAGTGTCCAACTGTGAACGGACAATAGATCCAGCAGACTTTATCATTTTCTTTACGTTGACTTGTTTCTCCGGATCAGGATTCAAATCCGGTTCAGAAGAGAGAACGCCAGATATGGACTGGATGGGGACAGAGTGCCTCTTTTGTTTACGTTTTGATCTAGGTTCGGTGGGATCGCCTTCGTATTTTCGCTTTGCGCCTGCGCACGAGGGGTGCTTGCGTACAATAAGATCTAAAATATCCTCAGCTGTATGGAGCTCAGGGTGCTTCTTCTCTAGAGAGGAGCCAGTCGATGAGGTAGGACGGTTGGATGAAGCATCATTGACATCATTGACAGCGGGCACATGTTGTTTTACGCAATCCCTTCGCCACAATATACGCTGAATGAAAAAATTGGCAGCACAGAACTCCAGTTGAGCAAGCCTAAGATAGAGGATCAATGAGTTGGGATTGAGAGCCAGACCTTCGGAAATGAGACGCCGAGCCTCGCGAAAAGCTGAGATCCAGACACGATCCCAGGCCAAACGGATATCGCTCTTGGCCTTCAACTTGGCTCGAAGTAGTGTGTTGTGTATAGAGGCTAGCCGAGAGAATAAGTGATGAGATTTTATAAATATTTTTTTTCATTGACGCGTAACAAGATGCCAAGTTCCATGAAAAACTAGAGTGCAAGAAAAATCTTAAATAGCAGAGAAACTTTTCAATAGTTGAAAGAAAAAAATTATGCTTAAAATCGGGCGAAAAAAAATGGGTTTCATGTTCGTAGTGATTCGGATTTCGAGATCTCGAATAGAAGCCTTTGCCACCTTAAGCGGCATTGAACGACTAAAGCCCTTATGAAGGGATTATTATAATCCTTGAAAAAAAGATATACGTTTGGGAGCATCTTATGAAAGACATATGTATAAGCTCAACGGAAACTCCGAAAGCGCGCAGGCCAAAAATATCTGATATTCTAGGTTGGAAAACAAATGAATTTGCTCAGAAAAACAAGTCGTGAAAATACGGAACATTGCTAATGAAGGTCAAATATTTTGTACAGAGAAAGCTGTAATTGGATGTTTATTTGCAAAATGGGCAACAATGTACTATCTAAAATCAATCCCTTTCCAAAATACTTAAAAATTCGGCAAAATAATTTCATTACAATTCGGAAGTAGAACAATACATATGGAAATAAGTCGGAATGCGAGCTTATTTTGAACAACAATTAGCAAGTAGCTCTAAACTGACTGGAAAATTGCTCATTGTCAACTGATATTAGAATGAAGCCCCAGACTATTTAGCCGACTAGTACTGCTTCGAATGATTAACCATACAAAAAGATTTTTTGCTCCCACGCTTTTAAAGCACATAACACAAAACTAGTGAAGCTACACCCTTATAAGGCAAGATTATTATTGCATAAGCAGCAAAGAGCGAATATTTTGCCTAATAACAACTCGAAAAACTGGAAACAAAAGCAGTTTGCCAACGGGAGTCTAGTACATGCATTCAAGATTATGGCGTAATGATGCTGGAGGTTAAAGTACGAAGATAGCACACATTAGAGCTCAACTAGCTTTTTGCACTACTTATTTGCAAAGGGGATTTGCTGGAAAGATTACTGAAAGTTAAATCTTGAATGTAATAATCGGAAAATGAAACACTTTTGAAATAATAAAAACAAATATTACTTTAACCATACTTAGAAATAAAGAAGACTTCTAACACAAAAGACGGCTCCAGGGGACAAAAAATCAATTCAATTTCTGTTACTGCAGTCAAAGCAAATTATTGAAAAAAATTAAGGTTTAGAAATATTTTATGTTCCCAAAGCCCATGAAAATACTGCAAAAATATAGCTTTGTCAAGAATAACTGAAATAGCAGTTTTGGTCCAGTCATAAAATGTCCTGTCAAAAAAAAAGCATCTATCAGAGATTCGATAAAAAATAACAAGAAGACAGGAGTGAAAAACGAAACAGAAGCGAAATGTAACCGACGAATTTGCACAAACCTGAATTTTTATTTTCCCCTGCCTT